TGAAATAACTGGAATGCTTTATATCTTCTTTGAGGACACCCACCTACATTTTTTTAGCTTTCTTGCATAAAAATAAAGGATACATCATTGACCTGACAGTGTGGGAAATAATTTTTATACCATCTCTAAAGATTAAATTCGAAAAATAGAGTCCTAAATTACGATGGTAGTGTGTGTTTTATTTAAACTCTTCTCATCTAAATTGTCAGAGGAAAATATTATAATATTGTTGGGCGATTAAAAAAAAAAAAACAGGAAAAAATGCTTTGAATAAATTCTCTAACCTTGAATCACATGTAAATGCTTTTTCTTCCACACTGTTAATTCAATAGTATAATGGGCTTAACTTTAAAATGCAATTTTATAGTCAACAAAATAGAATTTTTTACAGCTTACAAATTCTCTGCCTGTTTAAAATGTCCTACTATGTTAACTCAAGGTAATAGGAATTTACAATTTTAAATCCTTTGGAAGATAACACAAATTACCATGCTTTGGTATTGATGTTTAGGAGGCTTATTCAAACCAGTATTTCTTACATATAATGATTGTGCGACTTCATTACACATTTGTCAACTTTGGACTAATTATTTTTATACAGCTAGGGCAGGGCACTGCATCTTGTGATCGTCTTTCTTACTAATAGGATTCTGTCTGCTTCAGCAGGCAGTAATTGAAGGCTTCATGTACAGAGTAGGAAAAAAAAAAGTTTTAGCCTGAGTGGGTCATTGTCACAGCTTCTGGTAACCAGTAGAACAGAAAGCACAAGAAAATTGAACTCACAATAGAAAAATCAGAGACCAGGAAGACTATCCAAGAAAAGAAAAAGCATGTCTTAGAGCTGTTGCATGAAGTGTAGCAAATCCAATACTATGTAAAAAAATGTTTTGTTTGTGACTACCCTGGAGATTGATACAGACTCTCAGATATTTTTAAGTTAATGTCCTATTACAATTTTAATTATTAGAAAAATTGAGTTGTAGGATTTATTGTCTTTCTAACAAAGAGCATTTATGGTTCATAGCTAATATGTCACAAATCTAAAAAAAATATGGCTTTAAGTACATGAGGGAATAAATCTATATATTATAGATAATATGTTTGTTCAGATTTGTTGTTGCTATTTTATGTTTTTATCATTCTTACTATAGTTAAGACAAAATAACTTTTCTAAGAAGAGTGAAACATTTTTTTCATTTATCTTTGGCAACTAGCTTTTTTTGTCTTTTTCTTAAGTCTTAAGAATTCTTACAGGCTTCAAAGATTAAATGTCAATTGCTAGAGATAATAGACAAAGAGACATTTAATAAGATGAAATACAGATATATCCAAACAGTTTACCTTCTCAGTTGGTGATTACAAACAGCAAGTGCTTGGTGGTAGAATGAAATGAAAAATTATGAAAAATATCTAGATGGTATCCTTTTAATAACACGGAGCCCGTCGTACATGGGCAATACATCTTTAACTGTCATCCGCGTATTTGTTCTCATTTGTGGTGTTGCTGGTTTTCGAGGTTGATTGGTCTCCCAGTAGTCCCTCCCTGTCTTACAGCTCCATTCAAAAGGTTTTATGTTTTTCACTGCTGGTGTCTCTTCAGGGAGTAGAGGGTAGGGGATACTTACAATGTTTTACATCTTTAAGGGCAGAAATTTAAAATACGGCAAAGAATTGCAGACTATTACAAAGTCAAGTGCACAATTTTTGAAGAAAAAAATCTTCCTTCAAGTTTTTGTAACAGTAGTAGATTATATGCATATTAGGTGATAGGAAAAATTCTTGTCTGGCTGTTAAAAATAAATGATCAAAGATACATTTTTAAAATATATTAAGATAATGCATGTGACCTGGAACCAGAATGCTTGGGTTCCCATTTCGGCTCAGCCATTCACTAGCTGTGTGTCCCTGAGCAAGTGCTGTTTCTGTGAGGCTCAGTTCCCTCCTCTATAAAGTGACCTGCTTCATAGGAAGTAGAATAATGCAAGTGAAGTCCTTAGAACCCACTGCCAGACACACAGTAAGCATTCAGTAAATGATGACTGCTATCATCATTATAGTGATCATAAACTTCTCATGCCTTCTGCAAAATGTTTGTCACAGGTAATTTTAGTTTGAGGCCACACACAGAGGTTCTGACGGTGACCATTAAGTTTGGAATATAAATATTTAACCCAAGCTGACTTTATGCTCAGTGTTTATTATATCCAAAAGCTAACCATTTGTTGTCTATTAACTAGTACTCATTCCATAACTATTTGTAAATGTATGTTAAAGCATAGCCTGTTCAGGAGTTGAATGATTAATAAATTTTGGGGAGTGGCTTTTGCCTACCATGGACCAAAACAAACCTGTGATCATGCTGTGTTCCAATTAAATATATCCTTTCTGAACTGTGAAATGAGAGTGTCAGAACATCTGATCTTCTAGTCTTCTGCTTTAAAACATTGCTTCCGCCATTTGTGCCCACTAGAACATAGACACCCAGTTAATAAAGGCAGTCGCTTTTACACCCGCTAACAGATTTTGTGCTAGGATAATTTGCTTGGTGTGTTTCCACTGCCATGCAAGCAAATGCTTTCTTTCTTTCATACCCCTATTATTTATAGTACTAAGGGTTTTATAGGAATAGGATTTCAGAAACATGTACAAGATAGTAATTTTAATTTCTGTCAACATATTGAGATCAAAATTGACGTTTGTCTCTGCCAATTTTGTATTATAGCATTGACTCTAAGTTTTTTAATAGAAAAAATGTGCCTTGGGGCTGTGCAACCCTGAAATTCAAACAACAGAGCTTTTGTGTCCCTATTCAGACATAATCTCCTTTATGGTCCCAAGGTACAAGTGTTAAGTAAATAAAGGAACTAATAAGACTATTGTTTACATAATTATAACCCTGTCAGAAATAGGGACCTCTGTTGAAATATTTGTTGAATGAATTACAGAATGATGACCAAATCTACGGGAAAAGTTGCATAAATGAGTGGGAAAACAGAGCCACCTCATATCCTTTGGTGACATGGTTTAACAGAAATACAGATATAGCATTCTCCTATGAACCAGAAGAACCTTTAGACAAAACAAATGCATAAACCTATAAGGAGTGACAGAAAAAAGAGATTGTTTGGGGGCTGGTGATCTTTGTGCTCTCTCAGAATGAGCTGAGGTTCCCAGTTCTTACTCTCTTGTGTGTACATCTGAAAAGCAAATGGATATGTGGGTTATGAGATTTATAGACCTTTTTAAAAACACTGGCATGATTTCTGGTCTTAAACTGATTACTTACAGTTGCTTCCCTCAGTAGGAAAACTCTGATTCCTTGCAAGTTTTTGGCATGTTTGTAGCGAGCACACAAGTAAATGATTAAGGAAGTTTCGAACATGTTTTGTCACAGCCCATATTAACTTCAAAGTGTTAATAGGATTTTCAGTTTGGTAAAATTAGCATATTTCTTTTGCTTTTAATGCATTATTCTAATTACTGTTGGAAACCCGATTTTCATGTTTTTTTTTGAAGGCAACAAATGGCCTGTTTGGTTTAAAAAAAAAAATAAATCAAATGTGTTATGAGATCTTGATGTCATTTTTTTAAAAACTCAAAAAAGAAATTACTTTTCATTTAAAGAGAATCTGCTTCCTGCTTAAGTGGCTAATATTTTAATTAAGTCGGGAGTGAAGTTTTCTGAGTGTCTCCTGATAAACTCCCTCTTTTATGTTGATGGTAATTAAACAAATCCCTGAGGACGCTGTGGGCTCTGTGCAGGGCCCATGCTAATTGTCAGACATGAGACACTGACCAGTTGGTTTGCTCTTGAATAGTCCGCAGCGTGCTGTCATCGCGGCAGTTTTATTTTTATGTATTGTGAGCTGTTGTCAGGGCTAACTGGGTGCCATTGTGGCTGAAGATGTCGCGCAAATTGAGGCAGATGGCTCAGATTCAGACACGTGTCATACAGAAAGGGGCAAGGGGATTGGCCCTGCAAAGTGGGGTCACAGCAGGTCACAGACCTGCTCTATACTTGTTAGTGTTTTCAAAAGCTCATGTGCAGCAACTTTGTTTTTCTCCAGTCATCCCTGCAGTCAAAGCCCCTCCTTGCAAAAATGTGTGGAACACGTTGCATGTGGAGAATGGACGCTGGGAGGGTCCCGTCCTCTTCTCTCAGGCCCCTGGGGCTCAACTGTGCGTGCAGGACGAATTGGCAGGATTGACAGAAGCTCATTGTGCCTCTAACGGCTTTCAGGCCATTGCAGTGCCTAAAAGGCTAGTTTTGCTTTTAATTCCATGTAATTAGTAGGTTCTTCATGTCTTGGAATTTAGTAATAGAGCACTAGATGTCCAGTTTCCTCTATTCTAAAGTAAAAAGAGGGAACTAATATTCTAAGCATGTTCTTAAAAGGAGAAGTGTGAGATTACACTCAGCTGTCACATGATTTTGTTCCATGTCATCATTAGCATTAGAGAGTAAATATTTTTACATGAGTGAATTCACTGAAACTTAGTAAGAATTTTGTAATGTACGTATTAATAAAACTAACTTCTTGCATAATCATTTTCAGATATAAGGAATTAAAATTTCAATCTCTTTGAGAAAGTTACCTTTTCTTAACATGTTTTAAAAATAAAAATATAGTGGCCTATTTTACATGGCCCTTTGCATGGTGAACAGTTAAATGTCAAATGAATGAATGAGTCTCAAATGTATTGTACTGAAGAATTATTCATGCCCATCTATTGTTCAAACTAATAAATAAAATAGCCTTTCCTTTCTTGTTCTGTTTTAAAGATTCACTAAAATTGCCTGCTTGTGGTAAGCATGGTCTGGGCTGTTGATTGATTTTTTTTTTTTTTCCTCAGAAGAATGCTTGACTTTGGATTTTTGGCAGCAGGAAGCCTGCAGTAAATTATTTCATTTGAGAAAAAAGAGTTATTTTAAACCTATTTGAATGTAGTCTGTCCCTGTATCCCCTTCTCATGATAAAAGGTCTCTCTTTTTCTTCCAGGTTTGCAGCTAAAACTGTGCACAGTGGGTCACTGCTGCTAGTCACAGTAGAACTGAAGGAAGGCTCTACAGCCCAGCTTATCATAAACACTGAGAAAACTGTGATTGGTTCTGTTCTACTGCGGGAACTGAAGCCTGTCCTGTCCCAGGGGTAACCTGCTTACATCTGGACTTCAGAATCTGGCACACAACAAAAGTGCCTGGCATCCACGACTGCTGCCTTTCATTTATAATAATAGCCCTTCCATCTGCCAGTGGGGAAGAATACACTCTTGACATTCTTGTCTCCTGCTTTAGAATGCTAGTGTGTATCTATCATGTATGCAATACTTTTCCCTTTCCCTTTGCTAACCAAAGAACATATATTTTACTGTCGGTTATCTCAACTCTTGGATCCATGTGGCATTTTCTCTGTCCTGCTTCTTTTGGCCTCCTTGTCTTCCTGCTCTTTTTTGACAATGATGGATGTGAATTGGATATTTAAAGTTCATTGGATATCATCTTCCCTTCAGCAGTAAGCAAAAATTAGCAAAGAAATAGTCTAAATGGCCTCTCAGCTTGGTATGTGAAAATGCGATAGCATACTTTTCAGAAATAAACATAAAAACATCATCTCTACAAAATGTTTGTTCTTTGAATTTCCTGGTATTGTAATCAGTTCTTGACAACTGTCATCATGAATTTGTCTTCAAATAATAAGATAAATAAACTAGCATACGAATAGCATTTGTCTTTGCATTTTTAATAAGAAAGTATAATCCTAAAGTTCATATGCTGAGGTTTCCTTTTACTAAAGTAAATATTTTGAGTGTTATGCAGGGAAGCAATGGGATGAAGTTAGAGAAAGAAAAGCCATCTTCAAACCAGGTAAATGTTTTAATTGTGTTACAGAAAGTAGTTAATTAACTCCAAGGAAGTAAAATCGGTGTGTTTAATAATAAAACACAAATCTTCATTTTGCAAAGTAAAACATCTCTTTCTGTACAGTTATGATTCATTAGTAGAGATCTGATTCCCAGGTCTATTATATTACACTTGCTGAATAAATTATTTGCATATTATTTTTCCTTTGCAAATTTTTATGCCCAACTTTGATGGAAACTAACTCATAAACATACTTGTATAAATTTAAAAAACGAGTTCTATGATCAACTAAAATATCTTATTTGCTAACTCAGGCAAGTTAGTGTTTTTATTAAGATCATTCTATAATCAGAAAACTTTTCTAATACTTTTATAGCTTTAAAACCAATTGAAATTGTATTTCCTTTCTGATACAAGACAGTTGGCTTTAAGATAGTATAGGCTAGTCAGTCCCCTTTGCATACAGCCACATAAATAATGAATTTTAAAAAGTAAAAAGGAAGGGAACACTGATTGATATAGGACCATATACAAAGAATAAAAAGTAAAGAATAAAACATATGTTGGAACATATGTTTTGAGAAGAACTAAACAGACTGGAAAGAGTATTTAAGTTGTAAATCTTGTGAGATGGTAAGAGTAAACCAAGTTGTTGAATCTTTTTGCTCCTGAAGTATAGCCGTCTGGGGGAAGAGGAGAACTAGTACCGAAGTGACATGCTCTATGTTCTCTGCAGCCATAGTACTGTGGCCATCATGGCATCCAGAAGCTCCTCTGTAATCCGTTGGCATCTCTGTGGTTAGCCCTATTTCTCAGGGCTTTGTAACTTTGGATTTTAAGTCAATAACTTTTTGAAATGTTTTACAGAAATTAACAGTCTAAGTATTTGTTTTCAGAAAAAAATAATTTGTGCTAATTGTCATCAGGCAGAGGGAAAAGTACATGTGATTTAGGAAGGATTTTATATTTCTTAAATTAGGGCATTTATCTTTAAAATTACATCATGCATTTGTATTTTTTTCTTTTTTTTTGAGTTGGAGTCTCACCCTGTCGCACAGACTGGAGTGCAGTGGCACGCTCCCGGCCACCGCAACCTTGACCTGCTGGGCTCCAGCAATCCTTCCGCCTCAGCCTTCCAAGTAGCTGGAACTACAGGCGCACGCTACCACACCCGGCTAGTTTTTGATTTATTCTAGAGATGAGGTCTTGCCAAGTTGCCCAGGCAGGTCTCGAACCCACAGGTTCAGGCAATCCACTCACCTCAGCTTCCCAAGGCACGGGGCATTTGTATTTTTTAAAAACCAAGGAAATTTCAGTAGGAATTCACTTTGGAATCAGTAATTTTTAGCTATTAACTTTTAGATTTAAAATCTATATTAAATTAACGCAATGTGATATGAACCAATGAATAGTGTGTATCAATTGTAGTGTGATCTGCCAGTGGAAACCATTTTGACATCCATAGCTTAATATCGTTAAAATATTTTACACATTTTGAGACCCGCGTGGGCAGCGAGACCTCATCTCTACAATAAATCAAAAAATCGGCCGGGCGTGGTAGCACATGCCTGTAATTCCGGCTACTCGGAAGGCTGAGGCTGAAGGATCGCGGGAGCCCAGCAGGTCGAGGCTGCGGTGGCTGGGAGCGGCCACTGCACTCCAGTCTGGGCGACAGAGTGAGACTCCAACTCAAAAAAAAAAAAAAAATTTTTACACATAAAGCAGAAAACCGGCCAAGTCCCAAGTTTTAGGTTTGGATTTTTCTTTCTTTTTCTTTTGTGGTACAGTGATTGAGAGTTCCTTGCCTCATATTTCCTTTAACTTGATCATAATCCATTATTATCTTTAAATTGTTCCATTGAGTCGAGTTAGTCAATGTTGAATTCTTAATTCTAGCTATATTTTTTCATTTTAATGTTCACTTAATGGGACATTTTATGTACACCAACCTTGAAGAATGGCTCTCATAGTATGTTTCAGACTGTGCCTCATTTTTGATATCACAATACATTTGCTTTATTTATTATAAGTTTTTCATTCTGAAGACTGTAACAATGCACTAATCAAATTAAAGTACTGTATACTTGCCCTTCCCAGTAACTGTTTGCAAACATGAATAACTTTATAATAGCTTACAAAAAGTTTACTCTTACAATCTGTTTCTATTGGGAATTTCGATGTTATATCAGAGAAAGAAGATAAGAATCCAGAATGATAAATAATAGGGATTATAAAAAAGAAAAGTTGGACAAATAAAGGAAAACCACCGGGCTCGGTGGCTCAGCCTGTAATCCTGCACCTTTGGGAGGCTGAGGTGAGTGGATGGCCTGAGCCTGAGGGTTCGAGACCCGCCTGGGCAGCGAGACCTCATCTCTACAATAAATCAAAAACTCAGCCGGGTGTGGTAGCGCGCGCCTGTAGTTCCAGCTACTCGGAAGGCTGAGGCGGAAGGATCGCCGGAGCCCAGCAGGCGAAGCTGTGGTGGCTGGGAGTGGCCACTGCGCTCCAGTCTGAGTGACCAAGTGAGACTCCAACTCAAAAAAATAAAAAAAAATAAAAAAGGGAAACCTAAGATCTTTCCCCATAGGCCAGGTACAATGGCTCAAGCCTATAATCTCAGCACTTTGGGAGACTGAGGCGAGAGGACGGCCTGAGCCCAGGGGTTTGAGGACCAGCCTGGGCAACTTGGTGAGACCCTGTCTCTACAATGAGTAAAAAAATTAGCCAGGCATGGTAGTGTGTGCCTGTAGTTCCAGTTACTTGGATGGTTGCGGTGACTGTGAGCGTGTCACTGCACTCCAACCAGTGAGTGACAGTGAGACTCCAACTCAAAAAAAAAAAAAAAAAAGAAAAAGATCTTTCACCTTCTTTGTTCCCTCTGTAATCTCTCTGACCTTATAGGGAACTTTGTTTAAAGGGAGAAAAAAATCCTCTTCTCACATAATGAGACGGGGAAAGAGGCCTATTTTATAACGCAAAGTTAACAGCCTTACCGTTGCCTTTCTGTTGAAAGATAATCCACTGTGAATGTGAAGAACTGCAGTAAGCTTCACCAGGGCTGTGGTGAAATTTAAGTTATGCGTTATACACACCAAGAAACCTGAAATCTAATGACAGTCAACAAAGAAATGGCAATGTGGCCTTTCCTAAGTCAGTGAGCCCCAAATGTTTGCTTACAGACAAGTACAGGCTTTACCTCCTCGCTCCCACATCCTGTGGGTCCCAAGCCATTCCGCTTTAGGAGAGCAGCCCCACGGATTCCTGACCAGACTCCTTGGAGACTTCCTCACACAGGTGACCAGACTAGACTGCTCTTCCATCAACTGGAGTTCCGTTAATTGAAAGTCACTTTGACTATACTTGTCTTTTTAAGTCTTCTTCCTTTTCGACTTCCATCTTGACCAGTTGCCTCAGGGAAATTTTTCATGATCATTCTCATTCTCTTCCTGAGATTTTGTGGAAACAACAAAAAAACCCCAAGGGTATCAGGTTTATGATAGTGTTAGTTAACAGTTTTAGGTGAATGAGAAAATACACCCTTGGCTGAACCAGAAGATTCTTTTCTCCTCTCTTTCTGTATGTGAATGCCCACCAAATAGCATTGAATACAACTAAAGGAATCCCTTACTCTCTATTTTGGTAACATTGCTTTAATTTTCTTCCATTTAAAAAAAAAATTTTTTTTTTTCCTTTTTTTCTTTTTGAGTTGGAGCCTCACTCCGTCACCCAGGCTGGAGAGTAGTGGCATGCTCACAGCCACTCCGGCATCGACTGGCTGGGCTTTGGCAGTCCTTCCACCTCAGCCCTCCAAGTAACCGGAACTACAGGTATGTGCTGCCATGCCCGGCTAGTTTTTGATTTATTGTAAAGATGAGGTCCTGCCAAGTTGCCTGGGTGGGTCTCGAACCCGTGGGCTCAGGCAATCCACTCACCTCGGCCTCCCAAAGTGCTAGGATTACAGGCTGAGCCACCGAGCCCAGCCTTCTTCCACTTTTAAACTGTGTGATGGATTAAGCAGAATCTATGACCTGACCTGGGAAGCTAACCATCACGTGAAATCGTTTTCTGAGGAAAAATATTTTAGACTCGCCATGATCACTTGACCCACAAACTTGAAGCAAAACTGTTTGTTTGAAAGCTGAGATGGCTTGTGAGAAACGTGAGGCAATGGCACGATTAATTGTCAAGTAACACCAGAAGCAGCCATTGGGTTTAGGGGAGAAAGTGATCTGTGGGCGAGAGAGGCCTGAGAAGCTTCGGCTGAGGCAGTGAAGCTCTGCGTCTTACAAGTGGGATGGCGTTTAGGAGGGAAAAGGAGTTTCTAAGGTGAGAAATAAGGGTGAATGTGTGGTTCTCAGCCGAGGCTTCCTCTTTAAAATGTTTTAAAAATACCTTTGTACTAGAGCCACATTGGCCACACACCAGAAAGTGGCGTGACTCCTCCTGCAGTCTCACAGTATCTGTCTCCTGAAGCTATGGCCCTCACTGCCACCTCTGGCCTGTGGTAGTTTGGAGGAGAAATGATGGATGGGGGTACGCTGCGCTTGTAAACAGTGTAGAGCAGGAAGAAGGGGCTGGCGACCACTGAGCCAGAGGCCAGGAAAAACAGGCCTTGTTGGTTTAACTCTTCTGTTTGCAAGCCAGTTTTAGATATTTCCTGGGGGATTTTAGCTACTTCCCGTGCTGTTGTAGGTTCTAAAAATGAGTATTTTCAAACTTAGCGTCAAGACAGCTAAAGCATATTAAATTCCGTTATTATCTACCTACGAGTGAGTTACATGATTATGAGTTGGGGTGACACTAAGATTTCTAATCTTCTCAACCCTCATGTTTGTCTTTCTCTGGAGCCAACTTTACA